TTGGTTTTTATTTTCTTGCATGTTTGAGTTACACAGACTCTCTAAATGGAACTGAGATTTGTGAATGTTTCATTTAACCTTTTGAGGGGGTGAGATTTGTGAATGTTTCATTTAACCTTTTGAGGGGGTGAGATTTAGAACGAAAGTCACACATATAATTTTCAACTGATTTATTAACCCTTTAACTGTCAAGTTATTTTGATGATTTGGGTACACAAATTGTCAAATTTTTTTATTGGAAAAACCAAATGTAGCCGAAATAAACATCTCCCGATATATATTCGGGTATGACAGTACGATGCACTCAAAAAAAAAATTACCCCGAGAAATACTCGGGCGTGACATTTTCGAACACCAGTGCTGTGCCCGAGATAATCTTGGGCATGACGGTTAAAAGGTTAAGCATCGCTGTTGAAGCTATTTTCCTTTTCTCTTTATTAACACCGAAAGCGATTCTTGCAACAGTTCTACATTTGGATTTTCATTTTGTAATTCATCTTCAATTTTCTTAATCAATGTTGTGATGGTGATTCGAACCAAACATCTAATTTTCCTATTACGTTCAACTGTTACTTTGAGACTGATCTTCATTTCCAAAGATAAGGTTATTAAATTAAGGCAAAGCCTCAAGGGCTATCTGCCTAAGGGGAAGGATGCTTTCGTGGAGGACCTTCTAAGGAAAACTGGCTCTTATACACCTTACACATGGGAAAAACCACGAAAACACCCATGCAGCCAGCCCGTTTGCGGGATTCGAACCTCACACCGAACTACCAGTGTTCAGCGACTTTACTGCTCAGTCTCTGGTGGGCCCATTTCCAAAGATAAATAACATGCAAATAGAAATTGTATCACTCACCTTGTTTCAGGTTATTGAAAACAAAATTAGTTCATGTTGTCTTACCGAATCTATACATTTTCTTTATTAGCTAGATGCCCCAAACAACGTATAAGAACTAATTTGTTGCCTCATCGCATTGGTGGTTTTTGATGCCAAGTTGTACTGATTGAGCACACTTATTTTTCTTCTAATACTACTTTGTGAATCAAAATATATTTACAAAATTGTGGAGTTATAATTTACTTCGTTTAAATCTCTCTTATCCCACCTCTACGTGACTACACCTATCATTCTCTCCACATTCTCTCAGCACTAAAACATTTTATTAATTATTTATGGGTGATGCAGTGCCCTCTATAACTTTTTCCACAGCTGAAAACAGCGTATACTCTTAGTTCAGAGCTGAATTCACAGTATTTAGATATCTGGGAGAGCTTTGCCTTTTAGATGCGCATTGCGTTGCGTGTAATATTTCTAGTAATTTGAAGTGGAACTGTTACTTTGAAAGACCGAAATTAGAGAATGTTGACATTCTGCTAATACATCAGTGGAAGACTGACTGTTTGTTATATTCGTATGCATTTGAACCATCACTGGTTGTTGTTGGAATAAAAAGACTGTATAACTTTGATCACATAATAAGTTTATTATTTGTGTTGTTTTCTTTTCTTTCTCAGAATGTACTGTTCGTTTTACATTCAATAGTTTATTTACATGTGTTGTTATTTAAGCTTTTTCCCATTTTCACAAATATCATTTTATGTTTTAATAATAAATTATGATTTAAAAACTAACAAAGATATTACGTTCACCATCAGTTTACCTTATTCAACGTTCACCATCAGTTTATGGAGAATGTCGACATTTCCCGGTGTAAGTGAGAAATAAGGATATTTAGCAAATAATTTGGACATATATCAAGCAACTCTGTGAAAGTTGACATTAACTGTAGAATGTTAGCATTCTCCAGACTTTAGTCTTTCACAGTAACATAACTACTGATTGTGTTTTGTGATACTGAGAAGAGCTGTGCAAATATTTTTGTGGAAAAGTTGCAGAACTGTAGAGTGTTTCTTTTAGTAAAGAAAATTTTATCAAACTATCAGCGGTTTTTTGACATTCAATTCATTACCAACTCGTATACACACAACAATATGAAGATTTCATGTAATGATATTAATGTGAATAGAAAACCACATACTATATTAAATATGTAAATCAGAAGCAGCAGCTTCAGTGTAATTTTATTTTCTTTGGTGTATCTAATTAATATTTTTTATTTCAAGACCAATGTCATAGTCCATAAAATGTCTGCTATGCAGTACAAAGTCTGAAATCTGCACATCCGGTATTCTAAAATCAGATTTCCATGTCACTAGCAACCTCCCCTTTTTTTTAAAAAAAATTTTATGCTCAATGTTTGTATATTAATTTTTTTTTTTTTTTTTTTTTTTGTAATGAAACTTGTTGAGAATCCTGATTCTTAATTTCACTTTGACACTGATGTCACTGACCTAGCAAATCAGTATTTATTATTTTTTGCTTTCATCCCCACTCATAGGCCAAAAGATTACATTTAGTTGTTTGAATTGAAAATAACTGATTTGTTATTCAGTTAAAGTGCCAATACTAGAGGATTTAGTGACAGGATTTAGGGAAGGAGAAATTTTTAGAATTTAGGGAAATACTGAGCAATGAAATTTGAGTGTCATTGCTCAGTTTGGTCTCTTTATTATTGAGGGATGGCAAAATCTTTAGAATTTAGGGAAGTTATTAGGATGCGAAATTTTTAGAATTCAGAGAGGAACTTGGTAGCAGGATTTCGGACCCGCAGACACTGCACAGGGCCACATAATGTCTCGCACCAGACGTAGATAAGCCTTAAATATATGTGGGAATTTATTTATTTGGGAGTCAGATCAGTCTTAAGCATGTGCAGGAAATAAGTATAAGTAGCTAAACTAACATGATTCAGACTTATCAGTGTATGATAGAAACAAGACAAAATATAGCAGAGTAGCATACTTTTAGTCGCCAACCTCATAATACATCACCAATATGTATAGTGGACTTTAGCTGTTTTTAATGATGATAGTCATAAATTTGAAGGTTTTCAGATATCACTAACAAAAAGCAAAATTTTGTATTTAATGGAATTTGTGAAGAAATGTAGAGAATTGGCAATAAATGAAGATGATGTAACAGAAGTTTTTCATTGTGGTGATGATTTCCCAATCATCAGTCAACTAATGTATTGAAAAAATCTGTAGTATGGTTTGAAATCCAAAAAATATCGCTACCAACAGTGAAGAAAGTGACAGAGAGAAAAAATTTCTATTTACAATTTAGTGAGAATTCTCAGGCTGCAATTACAGGACTTTAACAGTGGAACTTTGTAACTGAGCAATAAATTATGTGTATCTGTAGAATTAAGGAAAAAGTATTAGCACAAGAAGTGGAACAAACTAAACAACTTGCACTGAAAGAAATGTTTAATAAAGCGAACAAATAAATACTGAGCCTTTTTTAAAGCAAATTTTGATTCTTTTATAATCTCCATTATTTCATAAATCACTATTTCGTATTTTAAATTTTATAATTTCTACAATTTGGAAACACCAAAGTTCCAACGAGTCCGGATCTCAAACTTTGTACTCTTAAAACATTATGGTAATTTCATACTATCCCATCAGCCTTGAAACCGTTGCCAAACAGAGCCATTTAGCGCCAATTTTGCCTGTGGGTGGCATAACAAGATGCAACATCTGTGCTTTTTTTTATATGTAACTTTGATCAGTTCTCGATAAGCCATCTTCTGTTTTTATCAGCAAGAAGAGAAGTTAACTGTTATTGGTGTATATTTTCTCTTCATTCTGAAAAAAAGATTATTAAAATTTGGGACCTGCCTTCTACAGAACAACAAGCGGTCGATTATTTTCAAATTTGTGTGATCCTACTGAAAAAAAAAAAAGTGTCTGTTAACCCTCTGAGCATTACGGGTTGAACCCTAAAATTTCATAGTTCCTCAAAATGTCATAAATAAATATTATTTCCTTGAGTACAATTAAAAATTACTTTCACTTTGTACCTTGATTCCTTTTCTTCCGATATACATCCAGAACAAAATAGGTACATTAAAAGCTGGCAGAAATTTTCATGTGTAATGAATAAGAAGCCACCCTTCTGTACAGAAAATTACATCCATAACACTGAGAAGGTTAATGGACACAATATGTTCAGCTGAATATTGCCGATAAAGCAGTAATAGATTAGAATAATTACCTGTGGGTAATTTGTAATCTTAATGTTGAAAACAGAGCTTCTTCTAAAATGGAAAGCCTTAAATTATAATATTAATCGACAAGTGCCTTTTTATGAAATACAAAAGCGAAGTGGTGTCAAATATTAATCATTTAGTTCCCTAACAGTTCCATAGAAATAATTGGTGCAACTTTAGTGAGATTTCTGCCAACAGTCAGCGGGATAATATACAAGTATCATGTTTACTATAGAGTTCATATTTGAAGTAATTTCACTAAGCTGCATTGTATGCCAGGGCTTAAGAAATTTTTTTTTTGTTTGGATTTATACTAATAATACATCACCAATATGTATAGTGGACGTTAGCTGATTTTAATGATGATAGTCATAAATTTGAAGGTTTTCAGATATCACTGTTATGTGTGATAATGTTGTGTGTCTTACTGATGCTTATTTTTTAATTTTCTGAGTATTGTTAAAATATGAAATGGCTTGTAAATTTTGCTGCTGAGTTAGACAACTGCTTAGTTAGAGAATAATTTTGAGAACTGGTGATATAAGCAAACTGAAGAATCTTTAGTTATTTCAGTATTTTCATAATTGTTTTTCAGATTCTTATAATATGATAAATAAATATAAATGATGAACCAAAAAAAAACCATCTTTTTGATAGCTTTTTGATCAAACATATTTCAGCAAGGAATCTGATTGATTATTAAACTTCAGTTTATTGGATGACATATTTCTTGATTATTAAACTTCAGTTTATTGGATGATATATTTCTTCTGGTGTTGAATATACTGCTTTTGCTTTTCTGGTGCTCTTTTTTTATATGTAGCATTTGTTATTTCATATTTTTTTTCTTTCTAATTATAAATTTTATAATCTATATTTCAGGTAAAGGAAGTACAGGAAGTAAAAGTTGATTTCAATGCTGATTTTATTTCAAAAATGATTCCTAAATTAGACTGGGATGTAGTTTATACTGCTGCTAACACTGTAGGTGTAAGTTTGATATGAATTCTGGTTTTTCTTCCCTCCCCCATATTTTTATACCTTTGAACTAAAATAAGCCATTAATAGTGTTAATTGCTAATCATGTAATGAAAAAAGTAATGTTATATTCAAAATGTTTGTTTTCATAGAAAACGAAAGAATTTTCACTAAAAAAATTTTTTGGGGGCAGAAATGTTTATAAGCTTGATGTTTGAAGAAAAGATACATAAATCAGATTATCTTGAAGTATTGCCACCTTTTAACTAAAATTAATGCTAAAAATCTGAGTTTTTTGTGCTTGCTTTTAAAAATGAAACTAGTTATTTTTGTCTTTAAGTGTTTCCAGTATTTCAAATCAACAACAGTAATTAAACTTTGCCAGTTATTAATATTTAAGTTGGCTTGTATTTATTATACTTAGCTGGAGTTTTTCAGTGCATTCTGGATGAAGTTATTTTTTATTTTTATGTCAGTTCCAAGTATATTTTTAAATTAATAAAGCATTCTATATGAAACATTTTCTGCCTGAATTCATTGAATTTTCCACCTTGGATTGATTACTTATTATAATTTTCAAATATTTCTTTCTGTTTAAGTATAAAACATTTTAAAGGTATTTAGAAAGAAAATTATAAGGTAGATAGTTCAAGAATGCTTAATAGTAGCTTCATTGCGCATGATTTTAAAACTTTTTTATTACTTTTTCATTATGAACACTTCATTGAGCAATAATAGTAAGAATATTAATCATCTTAGGTCTCAAATATTTCTCTTTTCATTGAAAATTATTTTTTAAAAAGTATTTTCTGGAAATGAATACATTAAACACATTTTTCTTGTTTCTTTCTGGTTATTTAATCATATCAACATAAATAAAAATATATGCTAGACCAAGATGTTTATAAACAAAATCTGTTGCTAAATTTGAGAAGGAAAACAATTTTTTGGGGGGGGGGCAATGGTGGGATTTAGATAATTCAACAAAAATTGCATTGCATTAATATTTATTTTAAGTATATATAACAGTATTTATTTTAAATTATAATATTTTTTCACTTTAGTACAACTTATATGTTAGCAAAAAATGTATGAAATAACTAAAATATAATGAATATAAAAAAGTACATATGTGCACTTGCAGAATAAATAAATATAATACAATAAAATATTTCTGTACTTAACAGAATGCTCACAATGAAACTGTTGTAAAAGTAAGATTGCCAAATTTACGTTGATTATAGATGATGTGAGACTTCCCTGCTATAGAAATAAATAATTTAATAATCATGTCTAAAATTATCCTTAAAATGTATTTGTTGATGATCTGCATTTCTTAAATCTAAAAATGAAGACATTTATGCTTGGACAATACTATGGAAACATTCCAGAGTTTGCTTTAAATTTCAGAGATGGGAGGAAATCACAAAGTATCCTGATAAGACTGTTATCCTGATATCCTGACTGTATCCTGATAAGACTATCCATTGACAAAAAAAATTGTCAATTTTTTTTGTCAATGGACAGTCAGAGAAAAGTACCTGTGCTTAGATGTACTGTTCTGTTCTTTGTTCACATGCTTTCTTTCACAAATCTATATCATACTTGCCAACCTATGACGCTAAAAAATCGAGATTTTTCACAATGTTAAAAAGACCTTTTTAAATGATAAAAAATATAGTTTTTAATAATGAATTAACTTTAAATAGTAACTAATTCTTAAATGCAAGCAACACAAAAATACCTTACACATAAAAAACATTTTTATTACTTGCATCATTTAAGAAAACGTAAACAACAGCAATAAAAAAAAAAGCTTTAATCAGTTTTTGTATAAATGTTATAAACAGTGGCAGATTTTGCTTTCTTTAAGAAAGAAACTTCATAATTTTGTTCATAGCAATTACCACGTGGGCCAGCTTTCGCTAATAAAAGTTTTTCTGATGTGTCATCACTAATCACACGTCCTCGTTTTTGCAACAATACTGAAAATCCTATCGCACTCTGCATTACTATGGGGAACTGTCAAGATGGCCAACATATTTTAAACAGTTCACTACATTTTAAAATTCCATCAGTACCTTTCAGTTTTCCAATTAAACTTCACTGGGCGTCAATCCTAGCTGATTTTATATTTTCATCCAAGTTTTCTAATTGTAAACTGCTGTTATGCAGCTGTTGGAACTGTTTCAATTTGTCCTTCCTTTTAGAACTCCTTTCAAGATAGTAATAATAAATATCAACAATGTGTTCATCCACATTTATTGGTAAAGAAGCTGCCCTTTTTCAGCTGCTAAGTATAAGAGCAACAGGTGCACCTCATAATCTGCAAATCTGAACTTTCCTTTCTTAAGATGCTTGCAACACCAGTCTTCAAGCCTACCAATACTCGTGCATTATCGACACCAAGTGCTAAGCAATTATCCAGAGGGACTGCATTTTCTTTTAAAGTTTTAATAATTAGCTGTGCTATATTAAAGCCTGTCAAATGTCCTTCTAAAGTGAGGACAGAAAATAAATTGCACTCAATTTCTGAAGACTGGATTAAAAATATAAACAACAATTGGATACAGTTTTGAATCAGTATTATTGCTTCTATCTGTAGACAGGCAGAACAAAGCTGTTTTAATGCAATCAACAACTGAAGATTTATTTTTCAAACCCATTTCTTTAACCTTTTGAAGACCGGATGGCCATTATAGTGGCCTCTAGAGTCCTCTCTTTGAAAAGACGGGGTTGTCCACTTTAGTGGCCGTATATTTTCCCCCCATTTTCCAGGCTGAAAAGTGGGGTGAAATGTCAAATCTGATGTCCCTAGGGTTTTAACCACTTATCTCTTTCAAAAGTCTTCCTTTTACAACATAGATGCAACCCTCTGAAAATCCATTAAACTACACACAAGAATTTTTGTTGCAAATAGGAGGTGATTTCTTAAAGGGGGGAAAGCATTGGGTTCAAGATTCCCCATCCTTTGGTTGCTTTTACTGCTACCAAAGCCCCAGCCTCAAAAGGTTAACAATTGCACCTGTTTTGGTTCTTGCACTTAAGTATTTCTTAGCGATTTCACTATTGCGAAACATTTTTCTAAATAAAGCTGCAGCTTTATCCGATGCATTCAGTGGCAGGTTGTGCTCCAGTATAAAGGCAGAGAACAGACATTCTGCATTAATAACTTTTTGGTCCTTTGTTTCCGAAGAAAAGTTTAATTTTCCATTTTTTTCAAAACAACTCATGTTGTCCTTGTGTTTTTTTGTAACGCACATGTTTGAGAACATCCACCCTTCCACCATGCGAAATCAAAAAATCACAACAACAGGCAGTACACATCGCAAATTTATTACATTTCTTTAAGGAAATAATGGAAAGTCAACTGTGTACGATTTTTGAAATGTACACAAGTATTTCACCTTTGTCGCAGACATAACAAAAGATGATAATTTCTTAAACTATTTCCCGAAGGCACGTGTTCTCACACAACTCAGGACAAAATGAACGAAATAACTAAAGAACATTCAAATAACAGCTTGCTTTTTCCTCATTGGCTAATATATGCCAGATGACACGCAGTGGGGCTCGATGCCCTTTGGAGAACTGGAGAACGATGTTTCTGGATACATATATGCTCTCACTCACAAAGCAGAAGTTATCTGATTCCCAAGGTTTTGTTTTAGATATAATTTAGAGAAAATTCAATTGCTTTCAGACGCCCAAAATCACTTTTTTTTTTTTTTTTTTTTTTTTGTTCTAGTAACAAAGTATTAAGCCAAGTTCCATAAAAGTAGTGAGAAATTTTAAGAATAAGAAAAAGTTGGGAGAAATATATTGTAAATCAGAAGAGTAGGCAACTCTGCTATATGCATGTGATCTAATACTTAATTATCATAGAATATTGGGTGTGTTGGATGTAACTGGCTTAGCATGGCTAAACTAAAAAGAATTGATGATAAACAGCAACAGCTTGTCCTGTAAGTTGAAAAATGGTTAATTGGGATAGGTAGTTGTAAATCCATAAAATTGTGGCAGCAATAAATTTCTATTCACAGTTATTACTCTATTGCAAAGTAATTGCCTTTTGTCTCACTTTAATAGTGAAAAATTTGCCAGGCCTTTGCAAAAAAATTACAATCTAACAATCAGTTTGCTAAACTGAGGGAAAAAAATTTCTACCAAGCCTGTGCAAACTAGTTGAATCCCTCTTAAAGGGTGGAGTGATAAGTAGTATGTCACTGTTGAAAACAATGTATAAACAAAAAGCAATGATTGTGAAATAATTTCACTTTCTTGAATTTAAATTTTAGAGAGGTTTTGCTTTGGTTTACTTGATTACAGCAAAGCCTCGAGGATTATCTGCCAAAGGGGAGGAATGCCTTCATGGAGGACTTTCTAAGGGAAACTGGCTCATATACACGTTACACATGGGGAAAACCACTAAAATGCCCATGCAAGCCCATTTGTGGAATTCGAACCTCGGACCGAGCTACCAGTGTTCAACGACTTTACCGCTTGGCTGCTGGTGGGCCATCTTAGAGAGAATTTAGGATTTTTAAATCATTTACTTGAACTATTTATATTATATTGATTGATATCATGTATTTTGCAAGAACTTTATAATTCTTGCATGAATACAACAATAAAAATAAAATGTAAATGAGAAAATAACCATCTCTATCGTTTGTTGTCATTTCAGCTTGGATGTGCAAATGAGATACCAAAATCGGTATCACCAAATTTTGAAAATGATGAAGAATTCTTAAGGAAAGCTCATCATGTTTTATTAGAAGCAAGTTGCTTTTCTCATTCATTTTATATTAAAAAATAATAATTAATTTGGCTTTATTTAGAAACTTTATGTAATTATTATATTATTAACACTGTAGCAAAATTGTTATTTCTCTCATGTAATGGTTGGTACCTTATTCATATAGGTAGAACTCATGTCAGGAGAATTGGTATGTCCGGAAACTGGAGTTAAATTCCCTGTCAGCAATGGAATACCAAATATGCTGGCAAATGAAGATGAAGTTTAAAATCTACTTTGAAACTGAATTTAAAATTTTGTATTTCAATTATTGAATTTGAAATTTTATATTAATAATCAAGTTAAATTTCATTTCTATTCATCACAGCATTTATAAATACATTAACATATTTTTAAGTCATATTTTTTCTTTTATGTAGTCTTTTGTTGATCATACAGCATGGATTTTCTTAATAGTTTAAAAGCTACTAAATTTTCTTTCAAATGTTCTTAAGATATTCCATGTTAGAAAAATAAACTATATTCAGAAAACTTTAGTTTTCTAACATTGAATATTTATGCTTTTTGTATGTTAAATTTGATACTTCAAACATTTGTTTAAAGTAGTGTGAATTATTTTTATTTTTCATTCTTCATAAAATTCATTATATATTACGTGGGGGAAAAATAGAAACAAAAATTTGGAACTTCTAAAATTATTGTGTAACAGAAGACTGGCTATACCTGAGTTATTTAAGAGAAAAATGGCATGTAGAAACTAAATCATTTAAGAGAAACTTGAAGTTGAAATTTTTTTTTAATTTAATGTTTAATATGTAAAAATATTAAAATACAAAAAAATGTGGACATTTATAAAATGTCTGAATTTAATGCAAGCAGTATTCGCTCACATTCATCACATAGAAAAAGAAAAATTTTATTCTGAAATATTTTTGAATCGTTAATTAAATTATTATTTTGTACCTTCTATGTAAAATGTATACAGTACAAAGTCCATAATCTGGTTTTGTTGGGACTTCAGCGATTCCGGATTAGGGGTTTTTCTGGATTATAGACCATCAATTTAAATCTGTTAAGATGGCATGCAGAAATTATGCAATTAAAATTATGAAACCATAATTTAGGAAATAAAGAGCAATTGTGATCTAAAGGGTATCAAAATTTACAAAAAATAAAATAAAATAAAATAAAAAATATTTATTTGTCTCTTTTAGTAAACATTTTTATCAATGTAAGTTGTTTAAGTTGCTTTGTTTTTAGTGCTAATACTTTCTCTTTAATTCTATAAACAGACATAATTTCTTGTTCAGTTGTGTAATTACTGTGTTGAGAATGTCGACTAACTTGTCAATCGAAATTTTTTCGTTTTCAATAACGTTCTCTGTTACTTTCTTCACTATCGGAAGCGCGCATGGGTAAATGCTCTACTGGCTTTATGCGCATCAAACGTGCATGCATAAACGCATTATGCGCATGCGTAAGTTTGTGGGTTTAAGGTCCGGATTATAGATCATTCCGGATAATGGACGTCCGTATTACGGACTTTGTACTGTATTGAAATATATACATACATTTATCAGCAGAGTTACATAGTCTATTCATTTCTTATTTTTTCTTTATTTTTATTTTGGTCATCTAAAATAAAGAAAAATGTCATTCTTTTGTAATGTTTTCAAGATAATAAATTTTAAGTATCATTGAATACAAGTGCACAACCTGCTTTAACATAATCTAGTTGCTGTAACAATAAAAAATCATGGTCTATTGTCCAGCCGTAAATGATAAATGAAAAGTTTATGCACTCATGATACCCACATGCCAAGAGATTAAAAGTTGGCAAGTTAATAATCAAAATATAAACTCTAGTTTATAAATCTTATACAAGCACTTCTATGTACAAAATTGGTGTTAAATTTTTAATTAGTTATTTAATTTGTGGTACATAACCTCAAAGGTTAACCCATACTGCTTTGTAAAAAGGTAAATTAAAAGACTCAACTAAAATAATGTGATAAGCATTTACTAAAAACTAGAAACTAGAACTGAATCAGATGAACCTTATTAAACCAGGTCATGTGAAAAATGTGTATTAAGAAATCCATGAATTTGTGAGATGAATTGTATTATTAAAGCAGATTAAAACTGATATATGATAAACTTTCAAAATAAATTAAAAATAAACATTAAAACCATTTCAAAATGAATACTAAAAACCGATATCTCTTAAATACAGGAATACATTAGAATTAAAAGTCTTGTTCACTTAGATGATCATGAGTTACCTCAGAGCTATTAAAATATTTCTCACAAAGTGTATTAAAATAAAAGCACGGTCCTGAAATGTGTTGCACTAAAAGAACAGAATTACACCTACAACAAACAGGCTCGCTCTTCACATTTAAAAGATAATTGTGTTTCTCGAGAGTGGCCAAGGCAATGTTAAATTTTTAAGAATGAAAGTATGGAATTTACTTTCTTGGTAATGAAACCTGCCATTGAATATGAATTGTGGAAATAAATTGCAAAAGGAAGCTTAATTTTGTTGAAATGTAATAGCAGTCAGGTGGTTAACTAGAATTCTTGGATTTCTGCCAGAAAGATAAAAAAAATCTTTACCAAAATTTATAATACTCCAAAAAAATTTAAAAAAGAATCAAGATCTATGGCTTTTGTTAAAGTTGGGTTAATTATTAACCAATGCTCATGCATAGAACCCCAAACCCACAGTTCATCCACTGCTCTGGAAATATTATAAAATGTTTACCCCTTTCTCTTTGAGACAGTACCGTTTAAGAAAAATGAGATTTAAAATCTGGCTTGTGATGTCTGACATTTGATGGTCGTCATCATTCTGTCTTTTTGGGAGACTGATTTTCTGTTCGTCGCGGTTTGAACTGGTGACAAATAAATAAATATGGGCAATCAGGGGCAAACTTCATTACATAAAGAGCTACAAGTTAGGATTTAGGAAATTTTGAGAGCCTCAAATGGATTTTTTAAAAATTACAATTTATTTTGTGTCTGTAGTTTTTTTTTTAAATTTTTATTTAGATTATTTAAAAATTTTTTAAGTAAGCAAATAGATTTTCTATAATACAAAATGCTTAAAGCAAAATGAGAATTGTGTCCTCTTTTGTGTAATCAATGTGGTTACATGTAAGTGTAATTATTAATTTTTAATTTCTTCTGCTCTATGTTTAAATTTGCTCCTCTGATATACAAATTTGAAACTACTGTAGAATTCAACTGAACATTCTTTATTCAGGCAAAATAGCATTTCCCCACTTTAAGCAATTTCTTATCTTAACCCTCTTATTTTCTGTCCATTATTCCCATTAACAATTGTGGACTGCTTTTTGGAGAAGTAAATTGAAATCAAAAGAAGGAATTGCAATGATCTTTTTGAGCACAAAATATTAAAAGCATTTGAGTGAAGCATAATTTAAAAAAGAGGTTCAGAGTTTTTTCCTCTATAGTTTTTGATTCATTTGTACTATTCTGGAAAGAATCTAGAGCCAAGGATGTCAAACTCGTGGCCCACAACAAATAGTTTTGTGGCCCGGCCAATATATCAGCAAATAATAATATATAATAATAAAATAACATATCGACGAAGAAAAAAGGAAATGTTTACTGCTAAGTAATTAACAATAATTTATTCAGTGTTGTTAGATTACTCACAGCGAGCTGACACACACACTACTTAAATTACAAATGCGTGTGAGTAGCTTGCGTTCAGCTACCTTCGGCTTTTGGGGGACACGTGCACTCAGAACTTGTACGCATCCCCCGATAGCCGAATGTGGCCAAACTCATGGTCTCAGTTTTCCAATCATAGTTTATATGTGCATGCACTTTGCTTTATTATTAATTATTACTTAATTCATATTGTTACGGATTTCATAGTTTTTTATTTATTTAGTTTTTTTTATTTAGAATTGTAATTAGATTTGCTTCATGTTGCCTTAGCAACGCAGACGATTTTTGAAAAGACAGCTGCGTTGGAAGGTTAAAAATAGAACAGCACGTGCATTTAATACCTAATAAATAAATATCTCGTAATTGCTGTTGCCATCCACAAAAAATCCAGATATTTATAGATGTTTCCAGTATATTTGAGAAATTAATTATAAAGCTTATAAAAGCCGAGAACAAAACAACTCATCTCTGTAGTAGCTGTAGTTCTAGCGAACTGTTTTGTTTACTTAGTGCTGTGATTGATTTGTAGCGATTTCGCTGTGAGATAGAATTAGTTTCTCTGTTTTGAATTGATTTTTGCTAAACGTTTGACATTTTGTGATATTGTTAGAATATTTTTGAAGAAATATTTCAGCATTTTTTGATTTATCTCTGTGGAAAGAATAAATTTTTGTTAACTTTTTAACGTTAACCCGTGTTTATTCCAGCCCTTTGTATTCAGTATGTCTATATCAAAACCAAGTGGTAGTAAAACTAAACGAAAAAATCGCTGACGAGCATAGAATATTCCGAGTAAAATGGGAATTAGAATATTTTTGCTGAGAAATAAAAAAAGATAAAATAATCTGCTTGATATGTAATAATACTATTAATGTACCAAAGTTATATATATTAAAACTTCATTACGAACAACACAAAATCAAAATATAACAATTACGAAGGATTAATGAGAGAAGAAAAAGTTGAAAGAGCTCAAGTTAGGAGTGAAAAAAGCAAACAGTCCATGTTTAGTAAAAGTATTGCAAGAAAAGTGAAGCGGCGGTACATGCAAGCTACGTCTTGTCCGAGTTGATAGCTAAACATTTGAAGCCTTTTACTGACGGTGATTTCATCAAGGAATGCCTAATGAAAGCTGGAGAAATTGTTTGTCCTGGAAATGTGAAGGCTTTTCAATCAACTTCATTGTCTCGAAATATAGTTGCGGAAAGAGTTACTGATTTAGCCGTGAATTTAAGTGATCAGATCAAAGCAAAATCATCTAGTTTCGAAAGTTTTTGCATTGCCTGTGACGAGAGCACGGACATTAGTGGCAATACCGATGCCTGGTACTACCACAGGAGAAGATATATTTACTTGTGTTTTTGGACTTCTTCAGAAATACAATCTACCTTTGGCAAAATTAAATTCTGTAGCTACAGATGGCGCTCCATCAATGACCGGGAAAAACAAGGGGCTTCGTAGCATTACTAAGGAAAAAAAAACTTAGTGAAATTCACGGTTCAAACATTCATCATATGCATTGTATTATACATCAAGAAGTTCTATGCACGAAAGTAATAAATATGGAGAATGTTTTGTCATATATAAAAAAAGTTATAAATTTTATAAGATCTCAAGGTTTAAATCAGCGTCAATTCGCTGCTTTCTTAAGTGAGTTAGATAGTGAATATTCGGGTTTGTCCTACTATACCGAGGTACGCTAGTCATCTTGCTCCAAGATTCTCAAACAATTCTGGGATTTGAAAGAAGAAATATGTCAGTTTTTAAAAACGAAAAATCAAGATGTAAGTTTGTTTTACGATCCAATATGGATACAAGATTTATCTTTCTTGGTTGATATAACCAAACACTTA